AGGCACTGCGGGTCACCAGCACCAGGTGACTGACCGACAGCAGCAGCGCCGCGGCCCTGCGGGGACACGGGGCTGTCAGCGCCCTGCCACCACCCCGTCACCACGGTGGCTTCCACAGAAGCAGCGTGGCCCCTGGTTTGTCTGACCTGGATGGGACCCAGGGAATGGCCTGAGGTTCTGTCACGGGGCGGTTTGGTTGGGTATCAGGGCAAGGTTCTTCCCCCAGAGGTGCTGGCACTGCCCAGGCTCCCCAGGGAATGGGCACAGCCCCAAGGCTGCCAGAGCTCCAGGAGAGCTTGGACAGCGCTCCAGGGATGAACAGGGTGGGATTGTTGGGGGGTCTGGGCAGGGCTGCGGATGGGACTGGGTGATCCTTGGGGTCCCTCGGATATTCTGGGATATTCTGGGATATTCTGTGATCTGCTCACACCGAGGGGCCTCCCTGTCCTGCTGGGTCACCTGGGGATGTCCCCAGGGGTGTGGTATGGCATGGGGGGGTGTCCCCCCCCACAGGTATTCCCCCACCCAGGAGTGTCCCTGTCCCTCCTGCCACTGTCACCTCGCGTCCAGCAGTTTGGGGTCCAGCGGGGGATACATGGATCTCACCACATCGTCCACCCTGCGGTGGGGATAGCGTTAACACCAGGGGACACTGTGGTGACACACCCAGCCCAGGCCTCAAGAGGCCTCTTGGAGCCTTGGGACACCCCTAGAGCCCCAGGAACCCTCCCAGAACTCCAGGAACCCCCTGAGCCCCAGGACTCCTCCCAGAGTCCCAAAATTACCCCAGGGCTGTGGGACACCTCCCAGAGTCCCCAGGCACCCCTAAAGTCCCCAGGTTTCCCTCCAGAATCCCCAGGGTCCCCCCCCAGTGCCTCAGGACCCTCCTCAGAGCCCCGGGACATCCCCAGAGCCCCCGTGACCCCTCCAGATTTACCCTGTCCCAAATCTCTGGGGACCCTCCAGAGCCCTGGAATTTCCCCCCCCCAATTCCTGGGGACACCCCAGATCCACAGGACTCCATCCAAGAGCCCCCTGTCACCTGGGGCTGATGCGCTTGGCCACCACGATGATGTCACCCAGGCTGGCTGGGGATTTCACGCGTGTGCCCGAGCCCATGGTCATGGCCACCAACTTCTCCGTCAGTGTGTGACAGATCTGGGGGACAGTGGTGGGCACTCAGTGCCACCATCACTACCAGTGCCACAAGTGCCACCTACCATCAGCACCAGTGCCACGAGTACCAACAATGTCACCATTGATGCCACTGCCACCAGTGTCACCAGTGCCATGCCCTGACTCACCTTCAGGATGGCGATGCAGTGGGACACCAGACCCCTGTGGAGAGGGAGGAATGTGTGAATCCACCTGTGTCCCCCTGCTCTGTCCTTGTCCCCTGTGTGTCCCCCTCTCCTGCCAGCCCCCACCCCATGTCCCCCAGACCTGTGGGGATATTCCCACCCCAAGACAATCTTGAGGACCATCGCTGTGGCTTGGTGACCTCCAAATCTGTCCCCTGCATCCCAGGATGGGGGACTGGCACTGCACAGGGGTCCCCAGCAGTGGGGGGACACAGGGACACTCACGAGGCGTCCTCGACCCAGTCCTCGTTCTCCAGGATGGCCTCGATGTGGGGGTTGGTGATGACCACATCGTCCAGCTCCAGCTCCGAGGGCTCCGATGGCGTCTCTGTGGTCCCCATCAGGTCCACGATGGGTCTGTCAGAGGCACAGCGGACATCCCACCAAGGGCCACCTCCTCAGGCTGCCCCACAGCCCCATGGCCCTGATGCTGGGGGACGTGTCCCCATTCTTGTCTTCCTGGTGATGTGGATGTGTCCCAAACTTCTTCCCTCCGATGATGCTGGACATGTCCCCTGCATCATCCCCCAATCACAGTGGACTTGTCCCCATCTTTGTTCCCTGGATGGTGTTGGACACGTCCCCACCTTCATCCCTTTGATGATGGCAGATGTGTCCCCATCTTTGTCCCCCCAATGACTGTGGCCACATCGCCCACATCATCTCCTTGATGATGCTGGACAATTCCCCAGCACTGTCCCCTGCTCATGGGGGTTGGGGTCCCTCCCTGCTGGGGACAGGGACGCTGCTGCCCACACGGGGTCACTCACTTGGTGTCGTAGTGGTGGCGCAGGTCCTTGGGGTGACAGTAGCGCTGCCTGCACACCACCACCAGCGCCACGAAGGACGCCAGGAAGATGGTGGCCAGCACCCCGATGGCCACAATGACAACGGTCTCCATGGCTGGTCCCCGCCCGAGGGGCTCAGGCGTCCGGTGCCATCACAGCACGCTGGGGCTGCAGTGACAGGGGGACCCCACAGGTGTTAGAACCCCACAGATTTCTCCTCTCCAACCCCGCACCCCAAAACACCCAGCCAGGACCTGAGGTCACCCCCAGATGGATCCCTGTCCCCAGGGTCTTCCTAGAGGCAGTGTCACTCGGGGGATGTGGTGACACTGCGTGTGGGGTGCAGCAGGATTTGGGGGGCTGCCCTCATGCCATCACCATGGCCATGGGGACACGGGGACAGGGGCTGGAGTCAGGAGAGCAAGGCCTGGGCCCTAGGGGGGCATGGGGAGCCACAGAGCGTGTTCTTCTGGGGACCCCTACCCACAGCCCTGTCCCTATGGGGACATGGAGACCCCCAGAGACTGATCCCTGTAGGGAGCCCAGAGTTCCTGTCCCGATGGGGCCACAGGGACACCCCGGAGCCCTGTCCCTACAGGGCCATGGGGGCCCCTAGAGCCTGGTCCCTAAGGAGACACCCCCCAGTTCTGATTCCTATGGGGTCATGTGGACCTCCAGAGCCCCCTTTCCATGGGGATCCCCCAAATCTGATCCCAGTTGGGCCATGGGGACCCTCGAGCCACCCCTGCTGCAGCAGTAGGGCCTGTGTGTCCCCATGTCATGTCCCCATGTCCCCATGGACAGCAGGAGACCGGCCATACCAGGCCCAGGGGACCCCATGTCCCCACAGGGATGGACTGGGTGTCCCTGCCAGGTTCCCACCCTGTGGGGGGGACCCCCTGTGCCCATCCTGCAGGCCGGGGGCTCCATCCCTGCCCTCCCTACCTGCTCCAGCCGGGAGGCAGCGCCGGGCGGGACACGGGGACACGCGGGGACGGTGCCACTTCCGTGCCGGGCCTGCAAACACGGCCAGCGCCGACCTTTGCCCCCTGACTCACACCTGGGCCCCCCACAAAGGGG